GGCCAATTATAATAATGCTCTTCAGGGCAGCTGTGCCATTTCTGCCCCACAGGCAGCTGTATAGACAACTTATAAGTCAGATATTCGAACTTTCTGCCCTCAGCAAGCTAGGTCGTCCGTCGCAAAAGCTTGGAGGAAAGTTTTATAATCTCCATCCGCCATCAAAACACGTCTTCAAATCAGAAGCCTGAAATAAGGGGTTGATAGGATAGCATTTCTTGCATGAGAGTGTACAGGCGACAAAACGGCCCACGAGGTAGATGCACTGGACCAACAAGGGGACCACATCGTAACCTGGAAGGCGCTATCGGAATGCACACCATAGCACGGTGGACATTGTCGGTAAAGACGGTCGAACAATCGTTTGTTTGTAGGCTTGTTTGCAACGGGTGACACTGTACGGCAAAATCACCTCAACAGTCGTTGGACACACAGTACGCACGTGGAGCCGACTAATTCTAGAGGGAGAAAATATAACCAAGAAATTCTGTACAACCCCTCATGCGATCTGGTCATGTTCGATGATTCCGGCTGCCCTGCCGTGCTAGAAAGCATGCCATTGTCTGTGATTTGAAGATGTAGAGGAGGTGGACGTTAGAAGGCCATGGGAGGATAGCCCTCTGCAGCGGAAGCAGGACTTCTTAGTTCACATCGCTCCTAGTCGAGCGCTTTTGACCAGACAGTAAAGAACTTCCCCGAGGAGGCATAAGAGTTATGGCGGCAAAAGGTGATGAGCGTACTTTGACCACTATAAACAGAAAAAAGCTCCGTTTAGTAGTATAAAAATTATGACAGAAGTAGGAAGACGTTAATCTTTACAGCAAGCAGGACTGCCGGCAGCAAGTTTGGCGAATGCAGGGATAAGGCCAAGGCTTACGCGAATTAATAGGCATGTTGGGAACCCTATAATGTCAACTTTGAAGCACTGCTTTCCCGGACCGAATATGAGCAGGGCAAAGGCGATGAAACATGCAGAATTTGATGACGCCATTCGATTCCGTGACCTCTTACTTAACTTCACATTGTCCTTGCATATAAATAAGAGAGTTTGTCCAATTAGAGAGCGACCCGGAGGGATGAAACGCGATAGGTAAATAAAGCATGGACCTTGAGTCTGATACGCGGGTGTGCACGGCGAGGGGGATGCTCATAAATGCAGTTTACTGCGGCGTTCACGGGCAGAATGTCTTTAGTTGGCCTAACTGGAATAGCCGTTGTAATACTGACGAGCAACAAGTTAGAGGCGGGGCACGTCGGCTCAACCATGCACCGAGGTCATCGCTTGATCGCCTTTGAAACATTAACACCCTCAATGGCAGGTAGATGCTCACTGGCTTTTTGGCACGGCTACTTCTGTAGGATGGGATACTTATCTATGAATTTCTGCGGATTCCTGCTTCCAAGGAAAAAGGTTCTACAGGAAACTGATCTCGTCATCGGTCATATCTGAAGAGCAGATTCTAGTGGTCCTATTGAGCAGGCACAGGACCAAGTGTCGTTCCCTCTAAATTGGGACGAGGCTGATGAGGTGCATGGACTGCCCTTTCTAGATGGTTTTTCGATAGAATGGAACCATATGCCCGCCTACGTATAAGAACGTCTAAGAAAGGAGTGTGTCGTTCTTTGCATGTGCTTTTTCCCAACCTTAAGTAGTAGTTCTTCGTACCCTGGGTTTTCGACAATGGCGAAAATGTCATCCACATATCGCCTATAGAACGCGGTTCGCTGTAAGTTTTAGGCTAATTTTCGTTTGAGGTTTGACATGAAAATGCTCATTAGGACTGGTCCCAGTAGACTCCCCAAAGGTACACCGTCCATCTGTCGATACAACTGTCCGTTGAACAAGAACTGCACATTCTGCGTGCGTACCCGTAGTAGTTCCCTCAGTTTTCCTGGTGTCAGACATGTTTCCGTCACCTGCTCACAAAGTATGTCAGCGGTTTCGTCCACTGGCACATTTGTGAACAGGCCCTACACGTCAAGTGAGATCATGTGCTTATTCAGTGAATTCTGATTCTTCAACGCATCTACGTATGAGACTGGTTATGTGCAGAGGCCTGTAAATAATTGCAAATACCAACGATAAAAATAGTTACTGGGGGTGGAAAAGCGCGCGCTTAAGAAGAGTGACCTCGATGAAGTGGACTTTAGGGACCGGAAAAAAATACAGCGGACCCGTGGTAGCAGGACCTAAGTGACAGACACTAACACCATTAATAACGAGCTGGGCATCATAGAGTTTTACATTTAGCGATTGGTCAGTTTCCTCTCACCCCCCCCCCCCCATACACCTTCAGGACCGAATTAAGGAAAATAGGGAGAATAGACGGGCGCAGCTGGATGACAGGCATATGAACATCCTCTCACGCCTCCAGCGGACCTTCTCCGTCGAACCTGCTGTCTCTGTGGAATGGCTAATCGATGCTGGGCAGCTGGAGGCCGTCAATACATTCTTTGCGGAGAACGGAGCACCTGTGCTGATGGTTACCTATGCCGACCAGAACTTTAACATCCAGAAGTCCAGTAAGTATAAATATCTTGGCTCCATGCTGTCCTCCTCGAAACCGCCTGCTGTCCGAGATGTTGCCTTGTCTTGACTGCTACTGTTGTGGTCAAAAATGACCTCAGACCTACTGTACGCCAAAAGAACACCAATAGTCTCGACTGGCATAGTCATTTCCGGCTTATGCGCCGTCCTTAGCCCACCTAATCTAGTCCCAGGCAGGGGTCACTCAGGCTTTGACATTAGGCTTTTCGATCATTGAACCCCAGGCCGAATGCCCTACCGATGAGCAATTGCTTCTGTCATGTCTTCGAGCCCCGGGCCAACTTTGAGCAACGCGGCTGTCAGAAGCAGGCGCTTATTCAGTGTCAGATATTTAACTGACAATCTCGGTTCTGAGCATTTTTTGGTAAAAACCGGATTAGTCCTGGGGTGATACCTCATGAGAGTTTGAACCAGGCCGCTAATCCTTCGTTATGTAAAGTGCCTGGGATGGCTCAACTTCATGCGCTACTGTAGGAGGGATAAGGCACCATTTCGACGCACACGCAAACATTAGGCAGTTAACTTGCTATCCTACATTATTAACCCGAAGAGTATATATAAAGGCCTACTTATAGCGTTGCTGTCCTTGTGCTGTTTTACTTACTCAGTTGTTTGCATCGACAAGCCCTAGGTACTTCCACCAAATGGACTTACTAACTTGGCATGAATATTCGCGCTTAGGTATTTCGTCCCTCTTAAGAAAAGCGTTATTTCTAATAAGTGTAATACTACTTTCAGTGTGCTTTGAGTTTATATTTAATTTAAGGTAGTCCATTATTAGTTGGGAGTTTTGGTCAATGCCTTTTAACCGGTTTCCGATTGATTAGGCGTTTTTCGTTAATTTGTGCACATCTTATGATTTATGCCCTCTACTATACGTTTCAGTGAGCCGATAAGCCTTACAAGTGGTAACAAAGGAAGTGCGTGCATTTTAAGACGAAGTCAGGAATATCATTTCAGTTTTTCTGTATTTAAGCTCCAACTACGCATTAAGTTTGCATAATTCTTTAAGAGGACTTAAGGACTTAGCCTATTGGTAATTAAGTCGCAGTATTCGCGAATAACGCAGCCTCACTTTAATCTGTTGATGTGTTCGAACAAAATGTAGCATCTTCCAATACTTCTGCGAAGTTTGGACCCTGCAGCACGACTTTGTGCTTTTCTTTCCTTGTTCCCCAGAGGAAGCATTTCGAATACAGAAGAAGAATCTCCGAGGCACTAAACGCTTCTTTTTTCACAATGCACAACTTCCGCTGAAGGAGGATACAGTGGTCTTCGTGCGAGTTTTCTTCACTCATGCCATCACCGACAAAAATATCCTAGCGGTATGTCCCCTAGGCGCAATGGTTTCACTCTAAGGCGTATTACGCTTAACTCTGATTCTTTTCTACGTCCTATGTTGTCCAGGTTAATAAAATCTAAATTTCTCTGAGCAGTAGTCAGTACCTTCCCGAGCTAATTGACATTACCTGCAACAAACCCTTCTACGAGTCGTTATATCGTGTCGTTTTTCTTCCTACCAGGAGACCTTCTCGTTCCGACTGGACCCCGCGAAGGGTTTCGTCCCGCCGTTATACGACTATCTGAACACCTACATTCTACCTGGAATGCTCACTCAGAAGGGAAACATGAATAAACTGACGCCTAAGGAACATGCTGACTTCTGTGACTTCGTTCAGGACTATCTCCGAAGCATGGAAAGTAAGGGAGCGCTGTAAATTAAATCTAGTTCGCATCCACCAGTGGACAATGCCTGTGCTCAAGGGGACTGTCCACTAGGCTTTTAGCATGTGCTTACCGCCTCAACTGCCACTGCTAGTACTTTCTCGCGCAGAATATATGTCCTTGAGGTGACCTCCACGCGTGCTGGCCTATCAGCTCGTTAAGCGCTGGCGCGGGCAAGTACTTTGGCCGGAGGGGGGAGGTCTAGTTAGCGGAGGACAGAAGAAGTGAGACGAATCAGACAGAACTGTGGCCGTTTCACTGGTGGCTTTAGAGACCAGTAGCTTATGCGCATGGGACCTTTCTGGCCAACCTGGGAAGTATCTTTTACTTTCCTGACTTTTGCATATTTTAGAGAAATCAGGGCTGAAATGAGGAGGAGGGAGTCTCATGTGAAATCATAGTTTTCCAAAGGTCCTCATTCTCGCATGAATCAACTGAATATGCGACATCGTTCAGTAATGATAGCTAAGACGACAATGATGATGGATATTGAGGTCATACTTTATTTAAACGCAAAAATTATTTGAGGTGGTATTTCAATGAATTCCAGGTTTGACGCCCATTCGAGTATGTTAACTTTGGCCTTAGTATTAACCTTTGCCATAAGGAGAATCCTTCTGACCCTAGCCCTAACCCTAACCCCTGGAATTTAACGCAAAGCCATCGGTAATGTGGGGGTCTCTATCGTTTTATATAAAATTTACTCTTTGGACCAGCATTCCGTTGGAAAAAGGTCATCAACAAAGTAAAATCTCGTTGTTCTTAGCAGTTGCTGGTTATTCTTCTCCTTGCCCCGTTATTATCTAGAAATCGTAAGGACTTGTTTTTTTCCAGACAGGGCTTACCTGACGTCTATGAGGTCAGAGTTTGTTAAGTCTTGCATTTCTAATCTTTCCATCCATACCCCACCCCACCCCTCTCCCTAGCCGTTATCGCTTGCTCAGAAGAGCATGTAATGCTTCCGCCCTATCTGCTGGGCGATCAGGTACACTACACGGATATGGAAGGTCTTGCTGCTTTGGCGAAAACACCCGAAGGTCTCAGTCTTCTTGAGGAGAATGCGTGTGCTTGGATGAAGAAGATAGCTGAAGTAGGTTCTTCCACGTTCACTCTCGTCACTCGATAACTTCACCAACCTATTCCTTACAGGAATTTCCTAATATTTTGTCCTCCTTGTTTCCTACTGCTCGTAGGAAGTGAAAGCAGTTGAGCTCATTCGCGTTGAGCGGGAACAGACGGGACCCCATGGGGAATTTAAATTCTGGAAATGCCAAATGACGCGAATGAATTCTCTCGTGGAAGAGCTAG